ATCCTGCGCAGGAGGCTTTCAGGGTTGGGACAGGCGCCGGGAGCGTCGCCTGCACACAGGCACGGCGGCCGCCCAGACGGACGCCCGGTGCAGGTGAGCGTTACGGCTGGGATTTCCACAGCCTTTGAGAGCACTGCTTACAAGTGTCAGGACACAGAGTCAGCATCCTTGACTACGAACAATGTGAATGCACAAACGAAGTCCAGTTTTCCCCACAGCATTAAATTACGATGTTTTTTCACATTGTGCGCTGTGCAGATGTTTTTTAAAGCAGAAGTTCAGTTACCAGCAATGTGGGGATCACCGGTGAGTTAGCACTAACCCTGCATCGCTCTCCTTCCTCCAACACACCCTGTTCACTTTTGTTTCTCCTCTTGCGAAAAAAGCAGGAAGCAGCCGCGCTTCGCCTGCTCAGACTTATGAAGTTACCATTTCTACCGAGAAAGCTAATACTTTACGCCCTGCTGCTAACCCCTCTCGGTCTGCGCTGTGAATTTACAGGTCAATTGGTAACAGGAATCTGCAGAGGATGTGGAGCTCGAACCTGCTCTGAGTTACAGTGACGAACATCTGGGGTACCCCACTGACTTCAGCGAAGCTACTCCAGATTTATGCCAGGTAATTGAAAGCAGGATTTGAAGGAGGGTCTGGAAAGGTGTCTGCTGAATCCTGTGTCAGGCACCAGAGGGAACCAAGCCCTTCACACGCACGGCCCTTGTCTGCCCTGGTCCCACTGGAGCCATTCTGCAGAGCTGCTTCCCAGCCCCACCTGGGCAAAGCCCTCACCCTGGGACTCAGGTCTGCAGCCAGCACCTTCCCCCCGCTAGCGAAGGCGTTCTTTTGCTGGGAACAGGAAACCAGTTGCTTTAACTTTCTGAATATGGCAGAACAAATTTTCTCACCTCCCTCCACCCTAATGTGAGGTACTTGGGTGACCCACCAAGGGACAGGCACGAACACAGTCATCACGAGCCTTGTAGTCGTGTGCTTGGGCAGCGGCAAGGTGACTGCGCAGGTGTACAGTTTACGTGGTTACCACAGCTGCACGGGTACCAAATCAGCCTCTTGCACAGCCACCCCGCCGGGGTACGCACCCCTCAGACCCCGGGGCACAGGCACTCACCCTCGGCTTGGCCTCGATGTTCTCCCTCCCCAGCCACTCCTCGTTGAGGGTGTACCTGGCTTTCCCCGTAATGGCGTCGATGGAGCCTTTGTTAATCTGCTGCTTGATCGCACAGATCAACAGGAAGAAGGGCTCTCCGACCGTCTCCTGGGAGAGGAAAGAAGACCCAGTAAGCAAACTGGACCCGGTGGTGGCAACGCCTTCCAGCAGCATGGCAGGGCCAGGCTCTGCACAGACGCTGAGGTGCCTCCACACACTGGGGAGCAGGACTGGCCCTCCCTGGGTGGGTGCTTGGTGCCATTGCCCCCCCGACCCCCACCAGCAGCTCTCTGGGGCTGCTCGGCAGTTTTCAGACTTGTAGCAACGTGACAGCGGCGAGAGGGACAAAACACCCGACACCAGCCGCAGGCGATTTTCGAGGAGGGCGAACTGCGACTGTCAGCATCAGCACACGGCATCCATCTTCCACAGCAAGAGCTGCAGGGCTGTGGAGGGCCACCACCCACCGCGGGCTGTGCCAGCGTCTGCTGCCTCACGGGCAGAGCATTGGGCACGGCTCAGAAGGCAGGGGCACATGCATAGCTATGCTGAGGGGGTACGTGCATCCACAAGCTCAGCAAACTACAGATGTGCATTAATTTACATGGGAGAATCTGGCATACTCCGGTACAGAGACGTTTCCTGCAGTCTGGAAGGGCGCAGATGGTACAACGCACTGCACTCAGCAGGACAAGGATGGGGCTGATGTGCACAGAAACCCAGATATTTGGGTGCTTGGCTTTCTCGTGAAGGTATCGGCTGAACTCCTCTTTGTGCTGCCTGGTTTGCCATTGAAATCCATGGAAGTGAGCCCACTGCGTGTGCCTGTGGCTCTGGGAACCAGCATTCATACTTCTCATACCACAACAGAGCCCTGATCACAGCAGAGCAGAAAGGATCAGGGTCAACAAGCTGTTCCCATGCAACAGCAAGCGAACACACCATTTAACTCCTTACATTCATCAAACTTTGTCTTACAGGAGAGAGGTGAATTGTGACGCTGCGGCAATGAAAACAAGAGCCGTAACAGGGACCAGCTATTTGTGACGCGGTTTTTTCGGTTCAGCTACCTGGTTTAATGCCAGATTTCTGATCCACTTCTGTCTGCTACGCTGCTGTGAAAGTAAAACATAAGCTATTTTCTTAAGAAACTTCTCAGTCCTGGAGTACATCCCATTCTCCTTGATGTTCATGTGCAATTTCCTTCCAGCGAGGCAAGTGCAAATTACTGCACATTTATGTACTTTCCGAGCATCACACACACCCCGCACAAACACTCCCGCCATCTGAAATCCTACTCAAGACAACAGATATCGAAGGATTTTGATATTTCTCAGCTAGGAGCTGCTAAATCCTGTTCAATCTGCTTCTTAATTAAGACTCGGTGATTCTTTTATTCTAATTGCCCTGTAATTGCTAAAGCAATTAGTTTGATGTCAGTGTTGATTCGGCTGCATTCAGTGCCGTTGACGATAAGACGCTCCAGCAGGGCCGTAGGTGGGCACGCACCATCTGTGCCAACGGTGCACCCGCTTCGTTTTCCGAGGGCAACTTTTTTTATGAACACAGGGAAGCTCCTTGGGCCTTCTGCCGGGGTTTAATGACTTTCTGCAATGCTCCTTCCGAGCATGCAGCGTAAACCCGGCTCAGCCGCTGAGCTGCTGGTGCTGGAAATGGGGGGAGGCACAGCTTCCAGAAAGCAGAGAAAGATGTGAAGTCATGGGGCTGCAGAGAAGTTGAGGAGAGCGAACAGAGAGGAGAAAGCATCAGAAGACCTGAAGAAGAGTTAGTTTCTGAGAGAAAGGCAGGAGTATGAGGTAACCAGCAAGGGGATGACGCCGGCACGGAGACATCCCCAGGCTGCGGTACCGGCTTTCCCCTAAAGCGCCATGAACGGTGGAGCACCACCAAGCTGACCCTGCACGAGAGGAGCACAGACCCCGATGACAGCCCTGCTGCCAACAGGGACGCCGTCCGTGTCGCACGCGTGTGAGCAGACAGCAGGACGAACCCACGGCTCACTTCAGCGCCGGGTTTTGGACCATGTCCCGTCCCCACCGTGGGAAGCCCTGGCCCTGGCCGCGGCTCCGGCCACCGAGAGACGCGAGGGGGCTGCCAACAGC